CTGGAGACATCACCCCTCGAGCTCTCTACTTCACCTCTGACGACATCCCTGCCGGCCCAGAGGAGGCCGAAGCCACAGGCGAGGGCGCCACGATGAGCGACTAGACACCCCAGGGACGGCTCTCCTTCCCTCCACCCGTCAGATGGGCTTGCCCATCTGACGGGGAGTCTGCCCATGTGTCTGCCGTCGCTGCCGAAGTCTGCCAGGGATGCTGCCATCGAGCCAACGCCTCAATCACGGAGGGTATCACCAGAAGGGGTGTATGTCGAGTATGTCGATGATGTGATGCATGTGTATGATCAGGGGGAGGTAAAAGGGGCTGCATGCATGCGCGCGCCGTATCGGTTAGGGAAGTGTTATGGAGTGACTTCACGCCTCTGAGTGGCCTGTGGGCCTCAGACTTGTGAATATCCCGATGACACCCGATTGCGGATGGATGCACTCATGCATATGCGCACAGTTTGCGTCCCATCCCCAAAAGCCTCGCCGCCTGACTGACGACCACTAGACACGCAGACCGAGAGGGAAGACGCACAGGCTGTGTTGCTGACTGATGCTCGGCCAGGCCGTGTGGAACTCGCGCCTCTCCTGGTGTTGTTGTTTGCGTTGAGGAAGACCCTGACGGCTGCTGCGGCGCGTCAGATTGAGTCCCTGCGCGCATGTAGACACACAGGGTGATGTGTGTCAGGTGTCATGAGGGCGTGCAGGCATCCGAAGATGCACGCAGGCGAGATGCAGAGCAACAGGCAGGTGCTCTCGCCCGCGTGACACGATGGTGGCAGCGTGCCACCCTCCCAAGGCCAACGCACCTCCCGATGGATTCAGTGCAGAGGACGTGTTTGAGCCAGAGGGGTGCCGCCGCGCCACTCGTGGTCCGCGCCGGAGAGAGAGTGAGAGAGAGAGAGATGGCGGCTGACAGGCTGATCTGTGCTGGGGGTGCGGGCAGTTGCTAGGATAGAGAGGGGGGGGAGTAGGCACACGTGTAGGAGCACACGTAGAGAGCATTCTGCGCCTTCCATGCCCCCTGTCCCTCTCCTGCACGCCTAGCTCACAGAGCATTTACGCTTCCTAGCCGATCGCCTAGCTCGCCCTTTTTCCCCGTTCCCTGCCCCGGAGCTTTTTCCTCGCTTTTGGCGTGATCTTCGTTGATATTGGACCTTTCATCGTTTGGAAAATTCTATGCCCCGGCGGAAGTTAGGCCGGGGGAATGCACACGACAGCCCTTGTCAGTTTCTTCCTTAGTGTAGACCACGTGCGTGAAATCCATTTAATGAGGGGTATGACGGACATGTACAATTGCATTGCAACGTACGTGTAGACTGCGTGTTTGTGAACTCCAAAGTGCAGCGAATCTCGCCCTCCACCAAAGTTTAACGCTCGCAAAGGGCAAGTGTCGGGTGTGTCATGGAGATGTTTGGGGCACGCCTTGACGAATCGATTGAGCGGTGCACCTTTTTGCTGCAACTCCTGCATCCGCCGTGAATCATGCGCATCAGGGTCTCGTCGGCCACTTACTTGTCTTCATCCTCCCTCTCGCCGTTTCCGTTATTGCTGCTTCCTGTCTCCTAGGAGGCCACACGCGAGAAGTGCCGCACCCCTCCGCTGCTGACCGAATCGAGGCGACGCACCCGATGATGACCCCGACGATGATGTCGAGCGGGACGGCTGGGGGGAGGGAAGAGACATGACCGGACAGCGACGGGAGACACGTCCGCGACATGTAGTAGGGGAGACACGATAGGAACGGCGGCGTGGGCAGGGGGGAGGTGATTGTAGAGGATGTGAAGCAGCTGCAGCCAGTGCACCTCTGGTGTGCCTCTCCCCTTCTCCCGGCCACCAGTTGGCCTTTTCACGTTTCTGGCTTGGTCGTCTTTCCCGCCCGAAAACGTTGGTCGCCAGGGATGAGACATAGCCAAGATTGAGTGCCGCTTCAGATGCAGGGAGCCCGGTGGTTGTCTGCAGGGTCAGTATGGAGAAAGCAGGCAGGTAGGGAGGTGGTGAGTGACTTCGAATTCGTACAGACTTGAGTGAGACATATCCCTTGAATCAGGGCAAGTGAGAGGACAGCTCTTTCCTGAGTAATCAGAGGGCTTTGAGTGACGCTTCAGATGCGGCGGTGCTTGTCTGTCCAGTCGCTGCAAAGAAAGCAGTCAAGCACAAAATGGATGTCTTTGGAGAAGATTGAGTGAATCATATCTCGCCAACCGGACTGAGTGAGGTGATAATGTTGGGACTGAATTCATAGCCCTCTGGGTGGGCGTTCAGATGCGCCGGATCCGGTGAGTGTCGGTGCTTTGGTTGCTGAGAACGGAGCGCTGTTAGAAGGGTGCCAGTTGTGAAGGAAGGAGAGCGAGTAAGGAGCTGCTGCTTGGTGTGTGCGAGGCTCTCACATGGCCGGTTCACATTTGCTGCAATCGTTTTGTGGGGGCCAACTGCCAAATGGGGACCCGGAGTTCTAGATTCTCGACTTTGTCGAATGGACCCCTGGTTGGTACACCCGATTTGATCCTTACTCCGACCGGTTAAAGTTTCCCTACCGACCGGTTAAAGTTTCCCTAAGTCGGAGCGGCTCCTTACAACCCCCCCAGCAGCCACAAAGGGGGAGCCAGTCGCATCTGCGCCTGATGGAATGATAATGACATTCGAAGACGATTTTTTCAACAGAGAGCTATCACCGATGTCATCGTCCTTCACAACCAGTGGCTTGCTGAATGGATCAGCCACTCGAACGGTAGTCGAGAGGGATGCGATCCGTCGAACCGCCTTGGCCGGTTTGAATGATAAGGAGTGTGTTAGCATGTTATCTGCTTCAGCACCACCAAAGGAGGAACAAGTGCAAAACTGGGTTTCCCGCTCCAAAACCGTTTTCTGCCCGAAAACCAGCCACTCCCAACGGAAATCCAGTCACTCGATACGGAAAACTGGGTTTTGTAATGGAAAACCGGTCCCCTGACGCCTCCCGAGTGCTCCCTGATGACCGCCGGATGAAGGCTGATGCCCTCCGACTGCTCTTTGGTGCATGCTGGGTAGGTGGGTGGGTGGGTAGGGGTGTGAGCATGTGATTGTCGGCTGCAGGGGTGACTTGCATGTTCGTCAGTGTGTTGCCGACGGCCGTCAGACGTGAGACATTTCCTGTCGGCCGTTGAATATCCATGTATCGCATTGATTGAGACGGCATGAGTTGGCCGATCGGCCAGAAAACACCAGCATGCACCAAAGAGCAGTCGGAGGGCATCAGCCTGCATCCGGCGGTCATCAGGGAGCACTCGGGAGGCGTCAGGGGACCGGTTTTCCATTACAAAACCCAGTTTTCCGTATCGAGTGGCTGGATTTCCGTTGGGAGTGGCTGGTTTTCGGGCGGAAAACGGTTTTGGAGCGGGAAACCCAGTTTTGCACTTGTTCCTTCTTTGGTGGTGAGCTCTGTCATGGGGATCCACTGCATCTGGCGCTTGTGTAGAGTTTCGACGGGGGACGGACCGTAGAGGAGGGACAACTTGCGTGTGGACAAAGCATGGAGTGAATTCGCTTTCTTGGCAAACGGACTTTTTCTCAGCGTGAAACGGACTTCGGTGTGGGCTGGATGAATGTCATCAGATGCCTCAGATGACTCAGCGGACCCTCCTGTGAGACACCAATGGGCCTTTGCTGCCTCGCGTGAGAGCGTGACTCAACCTCGGCAAGCAAACTCGCCTTTTCGTTCGCAAATCGCCATCGAGAATGGTTCATCTCAGAAGATGACAATCAAAATGTCTGTCTTTCTCCATGGAGTCACTCTTTCATCGGTCCGTTCTTTCAGAGGGGTGCTTCATGTGTCTTGCGGTCATTTTGAGCCATGAAATGGTCGCTTTGGATGGCTGATGAGTGAGTTGATTGGTTTATGCGGTTCATTTTGCTTGTGAATAGAGTGATCGGGATGGGCTGATTGCTTGACAGAAATGATTGCTTTATGTGGTGATTGCTTTGTCACATGAATAAGACACGCGATAAGCAACCGAGACACGATGAGAATGAGCGATGGTGGTGTGCTGTGCTTCTCTCTGATGCCGCTCTTGCCGCTCTGTACCCCTCGATCACTCACTCATACATAAACATGCGTATACAGGTGACTGCTTCACTCACTAAGGGAGGGTCGACCCACCTGCTTGACGATCCCCCCGGCCCGGTACACATTATTCTGACTGGGCAATGTGTACAAAGGGGGTCGACCCACCTGCTTGCCGGCCCGTCAAGCAGATGAGTCGATCCTCCCTCATTGAGTGAAGCAGTCACCTGTATACGCATGTTTATGTATGAGTGAGCGATCGAGGGGTACAGAGCGGCAAGAGCGGCATCAGAGAGAAGCACAGCACACCACCATCGCTCATTCTCATCGTGTCTCGGTTGCTTATCGCGTGTCTCATTCATGTGACAAAGCAATCACCACATAAAGCAATCATTTCTGTCAAGCAATCAGCCCATCCCGATCACTCTATTCACAAGCAAAATGAACCGCATAAACCAATCACTCCACAAACAGACTCAAATCAGCCATTCCGGCCGACGATCCATGGCTCAAAATGACCGCAAGACACATGAAGCACCGCTCTGTGGAAGAGCGGACCGATGAAAGAGTGACTCCATGGAGAAATAAAGGCATTTTGATTGTCATCTACTGAAATGAACCGTTCTCGACGGCGATTTGCGACGAAAAAGCGACTTGCGTGACCGAGCTTGAGCCACGATGACATAAACGGAAGAGCAGCTGCTTCGCGCTTGAAAGGCAGCAAAGGCCCATCGGTGGCTCACAGGATGGTCAGCTGAGTCATCTGAGGCATCCGATGAGTTCACATAGCACAGAAGTCCGTTTCACGCTGAGAAAAAGTCCGTTTGCCAATTTCGAATTAGTGATGTATTATGAGACGGTGATTCTGAAGTTTTTCACAACCCAACACATCACGACTCGTCAGCACCAAGAGGGGTTCCCAGCTTCTTGTTGTGTAAACTTTCGGTGGCTAGTTCTGAGACATATATCAGCGACGGGCCGCGCCGACATAGGCGCCTCGATCGCCTATATCGGCGCCGACATCGAGGCGCCTACATCGGCGCCGATATCGAGGCGCCGACATTGAGGCGCCTACATCGAGGCGCCTACATCGGCGCCGACATCGAGGCGCCTACATCGGCGCCCACATCAAGGGCAGCTTCGCTGCCCTTCGCGATTTTTCGGGGAGGTAACTCAATAAACCCTAAACCTGAGTCAACTAAACCCCAGCCCTAAACCCGAGTCACCCTCCCAAACCCTAAACCCTAAACCCTAAACCCGAAACCCTAATTCCACTGCGCTGAAACCCTAAACCCAACCTTCGGCGAACAATCGTCTCAACCAAGAAACCCTTCCAAAGCGCCTCCCCGTCACCTCTCCCTCCCACGTGCCGCCAAAAGACAGTGTCCGTCACTTCCACCCACCCCTTCGCAGCGTGTTGTGCAGCGACAGGTGCTGATACAGCAAGCACAGCATCTCGATCGTTGTGCGCCGAAAAATGTGCCGAAAGCCGTTCAGCCACCGAAAGAACTGCTCACACACCTCTGAGTCGAACCCCTCGTACATGGGGTCCCCCTTGGCACTGAAGCGTTTCTGACACGCTTCCTTGTGGTTGTAGCGCATCCGCTTCTCCTCTGGCAGCGTCTTGCTGGTGGGGTCGAGAGCACGTGCTGTCTCATTCTCCGGGTGCCGCTTGGCCTCGTTCGCTGCAAATCGATTGAGTCGATCAAACCAAGTACACTTCGGCGCAGAACGCGCCCATATAGGCGCGCCTGCATTGCGCCGTCTATGTAGACGCAGCGCGTCTATATGGGTGGATCTTTCGCCGCCTCCATTCATGCGCCCATATAAGCGCGTCTGGCGCCTTCATAGGCAGGTCTGCGTCTATATAGGCTGCCGTCTCCGTCTATATCGACGAAATCCGCGCCTATGCGGATGCGGGCTGTACTTTTCGGGCCTATATAGGCTGGCGTCTCCGCCTATGTCGACGAAATCCGCGCCTATGAAGGCGTGGCCCGCGCCTGGTTCATGGCTGCTAGTTCTCTTTACTTCAGGGCGATGGCCGCTGGCGTGCAAGCACAGCATGACGGGATGTATCAGACATACATGCTTTTGCATCGAATGAATGAGAGTCCCGAGAGAAATCAACAGAAGACCACGAATTCCGTGTAACCGACACACTAGTGTTCGCCACCTTCTGCGCAAACAACAGGGCGCCATTGCACTTAGAAGCAAACTCGTCTCTCGCAGTGTCCGTGGGCATATATTTTTATGGTAGCTGATTTAGGTCCACAGCTGTCCCAACATTCGGTGACTGGTTCTCTTTCTCAAGACGGCGAGGGCAATGGCCGCTAAGGTGCAAACACAGCATGACACGATGTATCAAACACACATGTTTTTGCATCGAATGAATGAGAGCTCGCGAGAGAACAAACCCGTGCAACCGACACCAGTGTTCGCCACATTTTGCACAGGGCGCAAAGATTGCGGTTGAGATAGCGGTGGGCAAGTTTTCAGCGGCTATGGTCTCGTTTGGAAGGCGAAGAGCGACGGCCGCTTGCGTGCGGACAGAACGTAGAGCAGTGTGCCGTGGGGGAGATGGATTGTGGCTGGATGGTCGATGACTGTGTAGCCTTTCAGTGGCTGTTTCTTCTTTTTAACGAAACGAAGAGCCATTAGCGCTTGCGTGTGATCACACCGTAGAGAAATGTACCATGCATTAGCACGATTGTAGTGATCTGGGTTCACGGCGCCGTCAACGTTCGGGCTTGCGTACGAACACAGCATGACGAGAGCATGGCGGATGAGTGGGAGTGCCGAGAAAAATCAGCAGAAGACCCCGAATTCCGTGTAACCGACACACCAGTGTTCGCCACCTTCTGCGCAAACAACAAGGCGCCATTGCACTTAGAAGCAAACTCGTCTCTCGCAGTGTCCATGGGCGTATATTTCATCAACCAGACCGTCAAGCGTGTGGAAGGATATTGCCGTTGGGTTAGCAATGACCAAGTTTTCAGTGGCTGTGGTCTCGTTTGCGGAAGCGAAGAGCGACGGCAGCTTGCGTGCGGACAGACCGTAGAGCAGTGTGCCGTGGACAATGGATTGTGTGGCTGGATGGTTGATGACTGTGTAACCTTTCAGTGGCTGGTTCTTCTTTTTGACGAAACGGAAAGCCATTAGCGCTTACGTGTGAACACAGCGTAGCGGAATGTATCATGCATTGACACAGTCGTGGTGATTGGGGTTGACGGCAGCGTCTACTTTCGGCGGCTGCTTCTCGTGTTTGACGGAGTGCAGAGCGATGACCGCTTGCGTGAGGGCAGAGCAGACGAAGGAGCACTCACACACAGACTTGCGCGGCAAACGCAAGGCTCAAGGGGAGGAGGGATGAATCCCCGCCCCATCAGCACACCCCAGTCCCGCAAACCCTCCAAACCCTCCCCTCCCTCCCCCACGCAGACAGAAGCTAGTCGCACGCGCGAGGGCGATAGACAAGCGAGAGCGAATCCATCCAGACACATGACTGAACCCCCGACCCTTCCACCCCTCCTTCTCCAACAGCGCATGAGCCATGTGGGCGATGAACACGTTGGCATCGTGTCCCCACACACCGTCACACGTCACCACCAGAGGGCAGAAGGTCACGCGGGAGTCGCAGACGGCCGAGCGGTATTTCTTCTTCTTGGCGGTCTCGTGCTGCTTCAGGATGGACTTGGTCGATCGGTTCTTGGAAGCGTAAGACGTTGCGTCAGGATCCGTAATACAGATGTCAAACGACGCAGCCGCCTGCCGCTCCCACACGCCCCGAGCGACGATGTCCGCCCTGACCCCACCCTCCCCCTCCTCTCCCTCCTTCAACACCACCTCCCGACGCACACCAGCGTCCCCCCACGCCATCCCAATCAGCTCGGCAAAAGTGTCCCGCAGCTCGTCGTGGCGACGAATCACCAGGCCGTACCGCTTGCAGCACAGCGCATGGTCGACGGTGAGGGGCTGGTTGCAGTGGTCGCAGCGTGCAGCGAGGCCGGGGGGGTGACGGCCGTAACGCATGTTGAGGGCATCTCGAAACTCCGCAGCATCAAGACCAGTGTTGTTGTCTGTCGACGGGAGGGTGGTCAGCCAGCCGGACGTCTTGTACTCGGCGCTGCGGGAGAGGACGCGATGGCGCCGGCGGTCGATGTGCGGCAGGGCGGCCTCCCTCTTGGTCTTGTGGGCGACGTCCTGCTGCTGCTTGCTCCGGGTGAGGGCGTGGCGGATGGTGGCACGATGGTCGCCAGGGTGGAACGGAGCCTTGCCTTGGACGGACTTGGAGACCACCTTGGTGCTCGCGCGGGAAGCGGGGTAGGCGGCTGCGGCACGGTCGAGAGGGTCACATATGCCGGTGCCGCTATGCCGGGCAGGCAGCAGCATCCCCCGTCCATTAGCTCGCATGATGGCATGGGGGTTTCTCCATCGCAGGAGGCCCTGGAGGCATAAGATGGAGCACGGCATCAGCTCCGCCTCCCCCTGACGGTCCTGGCGACATGCGATTCATCAGAGGAGGTCGACATCGGCAGGAGGCGCACCGGAGATGCAAAAAGGCTGACGGGGATAATTGAACCACTCAGGTATGCATCCTCGTGTGCTCCACTCGGATGAGTCGGGGCGGCACTCGGGGGAGCCTGGGTGATGCCGTACAACCTCCGCGACACTGAAGCAAGACAGGCCAGGGACGGCTATGCGGGGAACGTGAGGCAGCTCTTCCAAGAAGCCAATGGCCAAGAAGCCGAGGAGCCGAGCCAGCAGACTCAGGGCGACGAAGCCAATGGCCAAGAAGCCGACGAATCGAGCCAGCAGACTCAGGGCGACGCGGCCAATGGCCAAGAAGCCGACGAGCCGAGCCAACAGACTCAGGGCGGCGCACTTTGCAATGTCTGTCTGGAACCGCTGCACGGCGACGCGTTGCACCGCCTCCCCTGCCACCCGGACACATGCATCCGCTGCCTGCTGAGGTCATACACCCACCGAGACGGACACCGCTGCCCGCAATGCCGCGCACACTTCGCCTTCGAGGTGCTTCAAGCTGAGGAAGCCGTAGGAGATGAGGGGACCCTCCCGCTCCGCGCCCATCTCATCGAGAACGTGCATCGCAACGCACCGAGGGCCGACGCAGACGACCAGTACGACGCTGGCGAAGCAGCGGAGGGCAGATGGCGCCCAGAAGAGGACGTGCTCATGCTGCCAGGCACCAACACACTGCTGCTCGAGCTGCCCCAACTCAATCGCAACCTGGAGCTCGGCATCGAGGAGCCCCCACTGCCAGGCAGCATGGCTGAGATGGAGGATGCAATAGCGAACGACCCAGAGCTCTACGGCCCAGCACGACAGG